GGTGGACTCCCGACAGAGCCGTCCCCATGGTGAGTCCTGGCCTGGGGAGGCTGCTGAGGGGGACAGAACCGCTCCCTAGGTTTTGGGACTCTGGGATGACTTGGGGAAGACAGAGAAGGCAGCGAGTCCCCGCTGACAGCACTGCTGGGCAGCAGAAGGAAACATGTCTTCATGGAGTGTCTAGACACGAGAGGACCTAAAACAGTCCCTAAATTGTCAGTGGGCCCATGGATCCCACACCCAGAAGACATGAGGGACCACAGTTCAGTGGGGAAAGAGTCTGGTGACCAGAGACCAACAAGGACACCTGAGCCCTTCAGTGACCCTGGACCAGAGCTCCTCTCCCGGGGGCCCAAGCCTCAGGACCCCGTGCAAGTGCGAGATCCGGGGAGGGAAAACCCCGCCGCCCCTGAGACTGAATACATGATGACTGGCAGCTTGTTGGAGTTTATTTTCAGGCGACTGTGTCACGTTTTTGTCTAGCATGTGGGAAAGGGAACTGGAGATGGTTGTTACTGTCAGTTATTGAAAAATTAAGCTGTAATTTTTGTGCCTTTACTTTTGTGAAATTCCTGCTGGCCACACATCTCTTCCTCGTCTGTGGACGCAGAGTCCTGTGGAACATGTTTTTGCAAATGCTGCCGCAGCACTTCTGTACACGTTCTGTCTTTCAGCGCTGACACCATTCTATGCACTGGCAAAACGAGGATGTTTCCAGATTCAAAAGATGAGAGAGCATCTCAAGAGCAAAGTACGACACACCAAGACTCGTTTTCCCCACTGGACAGAGGAGGTGGCTCACACTCCTCCGTGCGGTCAGGCAGGGCCCGGCACCTTCCAGCGTGTGGCTCCGTCAAGCTCGAGTCTCCAGCACCCCAGGAGGTACAAGGGCGTGGACGAGGGCGTGGCGGAGCTTCCCCAGGTCAGACCCAGAAGCGGCTCACGTTGTGTCTCCGCACGTCCCACGGCGAGGGCTCGGTCACACACCATCTCTTACTGCAAGGAAGACTGGGCATGATGTCCTGATATGACAAGAAACACATGTGTTGGTCTCTGTCACCCTCCACCATTCCCAACACACAGCTCCTGAAACCCTGTAGATAGGGCACTAGGAGGATATTTTACTCCTATATTTGGTGTTTGAATCCTGGTTCCTGGCACGAAGCTCCTAAAACCCTCAGAATCTTGGATGTAATAAGGGTCTTCCTGTATGATAATGGGATGGTTGGCGGCTGGGGGCTCCTGCGGGCCTCAGGGTGGGGGTGGCTGCCAGGGGACCGGTCCAAATATTAGCTGTGGAACTGAGAGGGTTGGAGCCAGAGGAACGGATGGGATGATCGTGGAGGGAATGTGGAGAAGGGGCAGCAGATGGAGAGGACCCTGCGCCTCTCCCCATTTCAAATGGGCAGACGACGGGAAGGTGATGGACACAGAGCAGGAAAGAGAACTGGAAGGAGGGATTCGGGAATCCAGAGAAGATATTCGAGAAGAAGGAAGAAGTGATGATCCTGGGGTCAAACGCCACACCCATCTGTTAGAGCAGGTCGGTCACCAGGAGGGGCTGTGTCCTTGCTGCTGGCCGTGTCCGCGGCACGTGGCAGGCTGCAGGCGTGGGGTGGGCTAGGAAGGAATGCAAAGACCTGCAGAGGAGGAGGATGTCGGCTCTGAGAGAAAGGAGAGATGAACGCCACCCAGGAGGAATGAGCTTCTGAAACTCTAACCGCAGGAGCGAGACTGGACCGTGTTGGCTGACGAAGGAGAGGCAGCCCAGGCTGGTGGAGAATGGCTAGAGGCTAAAAGGGAGCCTCACTCTCCCCCGATATCCTCACTTTTCAACCCAATCGTGAGAAGCATTACCACCCCTCTAAGTTGTCTTCCTTCAGGTGTTTCCTGCAGGATCCGAGAGGAGGTATTTGTGCTTTGGGAGGAACGCGCTGGTGGAATAAGCCCCCAGCCGTGATTTGAGAGGTGGTTTGCTTAGGGCCAAACACGGGAACACTGTCAGGGACCTGTGTGTACAAATTTTGGAAGGCCGTTTACTTGCACTGGGGCAAAGTTCTTCTATATAGTTAAGGGGTGACCACAACGATTTTTTGGCCATGTACAAGGCAGTTCTGCCTGTATCCTGTGTGGCATCCCTGAGGCCTCAGAAACCGCTGACGGCTGGAGGAAAGCCGGCCGATTAGCCTGCTGCGCTAGTCCAGCAAGCTCCTCCTGCCTGCACGACGTCTAATCCTCAACACGAAAGGAACCGGTGCATCTACTTGAGATGCAATAAGACTTTCATTTGCTTCCCCCGCAAAGTACAAGATAAGAAGTCGTTGGCTAACACGCAGATTTTAATGGTCTCTTTTTATCTTCTATTTAGTTTCTGTTATTCCACAGAATAACTTTTCTCCTACGTCATTTGAATGGTGAGATTTTTATATTTCCTTAAAACAACTTTGCATTGGAATTCAGTCTCATATTGCATCCAAGGTAAACTTACGTATTAAAAAACTTGTCCTTAATAGAGCTCTTCTTATTTTTATGTCTCTGAATAATTTTTTTACAAGTTACCAAAAATGTATTTATTGGAAGAGTGGGTACAGTACACATCTCAGTGTCTTCATGGGCCAGACAGTGCTTGGCACGTAGTAGGGCTCAATAAATACTTGTTGAATGAACAAAGCGTCAACAGCAATGAATAATAGCAAACAGTCACTTTGGCAACTACATAACCACAGGCTGAGAATGAACTTCTGGCCACTGCACAGAACCTGTCAAGAGCAGTGAATCACGATTACACACACACACACACACACACACACACACACACACACCACCCAAGTTCCAAAACAGGACACAACTTAGGATCTACTGGCGCTACACCAACCTAGCCTTTTATAAACGCTAACCAAACTGGCCTTGCTAATTTCAAAGATCGTCGCCTGTCAAAGCCTGAATTCAGGACTCTAGAAGGCAGCTCCTGCTGTATGAAGACTGATAATAAACACTAAAAAAAAAATCCAGACATCGGCACAGACCCCACACGGGAGGGTCCTGTGTGGGTCTCTACTTCTTCTCTCTCTCACCAGGACTTCCAAAGTCAGAAACCAGGCTGCTGATGTCAAAAGCCTAAGTATGTTACATTTTACCCTCCCCAGTAAGCCAAGAATCTCTGTAAAAAAAACTGCTTGAAGCACGACTATGAACACACCAGTAACTCAAGGTGAAATGCCCAGATGAAACCAGCTCTCAGACAGAGCCACCTGTGAACGACCAGCGCAGCCCTGTCGTCCAAAGCAAACGGCTCCAGAAGAGCATGGCGTGGAGGCCGTCGGCAACGTGAGCATCTCTGAATACACTGCAGACGTGCGGCTAAGTCCCCAATTCAACTGAAGGAATCATCCTCTCGTATCTCTTCATGTTTTCATAACATGCTCATTCTGTTTATAGTTTATCTATGTGATAAGTGCAACTTTTTAATGAACTAATGCAAGAAAGCTGGCATTTGGCTAAAATGTTACTAAATGTGGAAGAGTTTCAGATGAGGGTGCCCAGGGCCCTGTGCTCACTGGACCGTGGCACCGTCATCCCTGGGCCATAATTCAGGTCCCCAGAGGATCCCCAGAGAACCCACCTGGGGCTTTCTTCGGTGACGGAGCCCTGATGTTTTCCAAAACGCTGGGCCCAGGCCCCTTGTCAAGTACTTACTGGAGAAACAGAAATAAAGAAGCTCTGAAGTAGTCAGGGTCTAGCAAACAGCAACAACAACAAAACAAAAACCAACCAACCAAAACACCACACGCAGACGCTGGCAATAAATAGCCGAGTTAACTGACCTGAATGTGAGTAGAAGAGCAGGGTGGATGAAATGGGAAATGAAATTCTGCTTAGAGAAATAGCATCCTCAGTACATTGGACGTATGCACAAGAATATTATTGCATTATTGGTGGCACCAAAATACTGGAAGCCATGTAAATGCCCCTCCATAGGGGAATAAACACGGTGCCTCTATGCCGCAGATGCAGCCAGCACGGAGAATTAGAATATTCCAGTTGACTCAGGCAGTGCAATGATTGAGCCAAGAGATAGAAAATGTGTATAACATCCTTCTTTAGTAAATCAAACAATAACACAAAGCTGCGTGTGCACACAGACACACAGGTATCCCTTTCTGTCCACATCCTCTTGTTCTGGAGTTCAGCTAGCAAGTTCAGTAATGATTTCACACAGCGAGGGAAGCCCGCGTATGTAAAAGTGTATGTGTGCATTCATATCTGAAAATCAATAAATCGCATTCAGATGTCACATTTTTGCACTTATAAAAATATTTGTGTACATGCATATAATAAATTCTTATATATGGTTTTATAAAGGAAGGAATGAAACAGGTGACCTGTTTCAGATTTGTGTTACTTGGTTCCTTTAGTATTTTTATTCCTGTAACAGAAAAGTCTGACCACTTTGCGTATTAGATAAGTGTTTGACATATTCTATTACATGTATGGCATCGTCTTCAGAATACCCTTCAGAAGGAGACGCAGGTGAGGAAATGATGCTCTTTGAGGTTCCGTCACTTGCTCAAGCTTACGCGACTGCAGCCCGCGGGACTGGACTTGCAACTGAGGCTGCTTAGCTCCAAAGCCCTTTTTACCACCCACACGAGCCTCCGGAAGTCCTTGTTTTCTCCTATGCCATAGGCCTCCGTGGAGAACCACTCAGAATCAAGCTCCAGCAATGGACGAATTGACTGCAGCGGAACACTTGGTTACCCCAACTCCCACCCACCCTAGGTTCTTGGGCAGCAAAAGAGGCCCTGGGGTTGGGGAGGTCATAGGATTTCTCAGCTCTTAGCCACCCCACTTCTGTGTAATGGAGGCGACTGGCAAACCTTACACAGTGACAAGCCGTGAAATTGGAGCACCCCCAGAACTGAGCACATGAGCCTCGCCTGTTTTATTACTCAAGAATTATTTACTAGGTGTCTGCTTTAGCATTCAGAATAAAGATTCCTTCAGCAATACGTTGTACTGTCGTTAGCACATTTCCAGTCTGTAGCACCTAGACTCAAATCGGCATTAAACCACATCTTTGCAGACAGGGTTGGCCTGAATAAATGTGGAAAAAGGAAGATTGTATTAAAACACATGCAGTGGAAACTAATCAAGGCAGCATACAGACGTACTGGCAGCTACTTGCCATCAACCAGGCCAAGCATAAAGTTTAATCGGGGAAAATCAACCACAATCGTTTTATATTGGAAGGTGGGACCGACTGGGCAACGGCCCTGCCTCTTACACATTTGCTCTCGGAAAGTGCCTGTGAGGCTCCTAAGCAGTTTTCCCTCGTGATGGATCAGCTGCCACGGCCTGGCGCTGCGCGGGGCACACCCTGTTCTCACTCCCAGCTCTGACGCACGTGGGTGTGCAGTCGCGGCGCTCACTTCCCGAGGCCGCCCAACGCATCCACGGAGCACCCCTCCTGGGTCCCTCCCTGTGGGTTCTCTCCACCGCTAGCCCTCAGTTTTCAAAAGACCTGCAATAAAGTGCAGTGTAATTAGTTATAGGAAATGAACTAGCGATAGGCGCAATCCAGTAACCGTTATCATGTATGCAATATGGGAATCAAGGTAACTTTCTCCAAATTTTGATGCAATAATGGACACGGTTCTGTGAAAAACACTGATGGAACTTACATTATTTCATCTTCATAGTGTCTTCGCAAGACACACGATCCACCGCAAACTCGAGGACTGCTGCGCACACGCTCCAGCCCTGGGCGGTGCGGCTGCAGCGGGGAGGTGGCGTGGACAGTGAAGAGCCCAGACGCGGAGTCGGTCTGGGACCTGCGCCCAAATCTCAAACTCAGTAGCTGCCCTCAGGCAAGTTACTTAAACTCCCTCGGTTCAGTTTCCTTATACCAGAAGGGCTGTCATATCGCTGCCGAACGGGTCGCTGTCAGGATTCAGTGAGATGAGGCCCGCTGAACACGCGGAATGACGATGAGCAGACGGGGGCTAGCGGGGGTTCCTCCACAGCGCGCCTGTAGAAAGGAACGTGGCACAGGCCTGCCTGAAACCTCTGTTTCTGCAGGGGGTGAGGCACTGTCTCCCAGGAGGCGGCAATTCCCCCCGGCATGAGCTCTCTGCCCAAACCAAGCAGATCCAGCCCTCTGAAAACACTCCCTGCCTTGCGACTCTCCGCAGAGCCCACCAGTCACCTGCGGTGCCACCCGCCTCCTCCTGCAGTTGCACCTCTGCTCCAGGAGGAGACCTGAGCATCGCCCTCCGCCACGCCTTCCCGGGCACCCCGGGCAGGAGGGGCCTCTGGGGACCGCACGCCCGTGTCATCTCCCGTCTGCGCAGCATCCTCTCCCTCCGCCGTGGCTCATGGACTCGACTCGGTCCCTGTGCTTGGGGACAGGCGTCTTCAAAACTTTCACAGTTTGGGTTTCCTCATAAAAACTTTCTTCAATAAATGTCCGTTACTGCCTCGTTTATTAAATATTCCAGTCGGGCCGCCAACAGCCACACTGTAGTACGCCACGTGTGCACTGGCGGTTAGGGGAAAACTAAAAGTGCAATGTATGATTAGATATAGATAAATATTCATATGCCTTCACAAAACAAGGTCTCCCTGAAGCTCGCTATTGTTCCCTGTTTTGTTTCTGCCATGAAAATAATTACCAAAGATGCTAAGAATTTGTGACACGTCACCTTCAGTGTCTCTTTGCACTGCAGAAGGGAGTGTTGAGGGAGACGTGTTCCAGAAGTTTCCATTCCCCTCTGTCCACAGTGGGACCCTGCCACACACGCTCACCCGTGCTGGCTCCTCCGCCCAGCCCCCAGCCCTGCCCACTTGCTGTCGCCTCGTCTGCTTCTAGCCGCATCTTGTTCCATTCAAATCCCCCTCGACTTCCACTTGGGAAAACTTGTTAATTTTGACCATTTATTAGGCACTTAGTATATACCAACTGCTGCATAAAGTGCTTGGAAACCACAGCCTGCTGCTAACTAACTGCTTGAGAACCGGCTCTCTGGGGGGAAAGCCCTGATTTACAGTGTTTGCCAATTTCCACGGTGTCACCTACAGCCAGCTCCACTATAACGCTTGTTTTGAAAATGAGAATTTGTTCCAATGTGACTGATAAGTGAGGAAGTAATTTGAGTGTCGCGTGAGTTTCAGTTTGCTCGTGCACAGCTCTGTCCCTCAGACACCAGGTGAATGCGGCAGGAGCATACAAATGTCACTCACGAGCACCGCAGCAGGACGGTGAGCCCCAGCCAGCAGCACCTGCAATTACAACTCCTCTGGATTTCAGAGAACCGTCGTATTAGTGAGGTTCTCCAGAGACAGGACCGCAGGGAGGGGTAGGCGGGTGGATAGGTAGATAGGTAGATGGATGGGTATGGAGAGGTGTAGATGTATTGCAGAGGACATTTATGATGGGGATTGGCGCGTGCAATGATGGGAGCCAAGAAGTCCTGTGATCTGGGTCTGAGCCGGACACCCAGAGGTGCTGCGATTCTGCCTGAGCGCAACGGCCTGAGCCCCGGGAGCTGACAGCGCATCTCTTCAGCCCAGAGGCCAAAGGCCCAAGAACCCAGAGAACCTAGAGTCTGGGGCGGGAGAAGATGAATGTCCCGACTCAAACAGAGAGTGGGAATTTCCCTCCGTCTCGCCTTCTTGTTCTGTTCAAGCCCTCGATGGACTGAACGGTGCAATCCCACATGGTGAGGGCGGATCTTCACTCAGTCTGCTGACTCAGATGCTACTCTCTTCCAGAAACACCGTAACACACCCAGATGGAACGCTTTACCAGCTACCTGGGCATACCCCAACCTAGTCAAGATAGCACCTAAAGTGACCCATCACATCCTCCTCCAGATGCTGCCACACCTGGACTGAGGGCCTGAGCCTCGCCACCTAGCTAGGCTGCTCTTGACTTCCTGACCCTCCAAAATGGGGGAGACAATGCATGTTGTTTTAAGCTAGTAAGTTTTGGGGTAATTTGCTGTTATGATCTGAATGTCTGTGTTCCCCCCAAATCCACATGTTGAAATCCTCCCGCCCACAGTGACGGCATTAGGACGTGGGGCCTTCGGGAGGTGACTAGGTCATGAGGGTCAAGCTCTCGTGAGTGGGATTAGCCCCTACAAAAGAGGCCCCTCCTGCCACGTGAGGACACAGCAAGAAGGTGTCACGTATGAGCCTGCAGGAGGGCCCTGACCAGACACCGAGTTTGCTAGCACCTTGATCTTGGGCTTCCAGCCTCCAGAACTGCGGGAAATTAATTTCTGTTGTTTATAAGCCCCCCAGTCTATGGTATTTTATTACAGCAGCCCGACTAGACTAAGACATTTGTTATGTAGCAATCGATGATTAACAGAGTCTCTTGGCCATCAGATTCTCTATGTGCATACTACGACAAGCAGTTGTGATAATCCTTGCTCCGTCCACTTCCTAGGGAGACAATTCAATCAAGTGAGGAAATGCATGTGAATGTATTTCAGCCAGTGTAACACACTAGCAACCATAATGTGCTATCATTACATGTAAAAGTATCATTTAGTTGATTGTTTCCTTTGCTATGCAGAAACTTTTTAGTTTGATGTAATCCCATTTGTCTATGTTTGCTTATGTTACCTGTGCTTTTGGGGTCATATCCAAAAACTCATCACCCAGACCAATGTCATAGAGCTTTTCCCCCATGTTGGTCAAAGGTTACAACATTTCAGCTAGAAAGGAGGAATCAGCTCAAAGATCTATTGTGCAACATGGTGACTATGATTAGTAGCAATATATTATTAATATATTCTTTAAAAATGCTAAGAGAATAGATTTTAAGTGTTCTTGCCACAAAAATGACAACTATGTTAGATTATTCATGTTAATTAGCTTGATTAGCCATTCTACAATGTGTGTGTACATAGATTAAAACATGCTGTACATGATAGATATATAAAATTCGTCTGTCAATTTAAAAAATAATAAAGATATCATTCAGTCTTTACTACATGACCTTCACATAAGCAGAAATTTAAAAAATCATATTTTACTACCCAGAAATTGGCACAGTACACACATTATTGAATATAACTCAGATCTTTTCTATCTATACATACACATGCATACCTAAAATGACATTATTTTATACATACTATTGATAAGCACTTGTTACAGTTAGTCAGCTCCAGATTTCCATTTCAATAAATCTTCACCTTATGTAGCACATAGCCCATGTTCGGTTTACCCGGTTGCCCCAATATTGGCTCTGGCTGGCTCACCCAAATCAGATCCAATCGAGGACCCTCCATTGTACCGTGTGATATTCCTCAGTTTGCCTTAATCTACCATAACTTTTTTCGATGACATTGAATTGTGTGAAAGACCATATCCTCCTTTCTGGATTTCTCGGGGAGTTGCTCATGGAGTCACTTACTTTGTTCTGCCTTCCATATTTCCTGTAAACTGGAAGTCAGAGCTAAAGGCTTGATGAGTTCGAATCAGACATTTAGGGTTAGAACACTCCCGAGGTGATGCAGTGTACTTCGTGTTGCATCAGGACAGGAAAAACGAAAAGCCAGGCTGACCCACGGTCACTGATGCCCAGGTGCACGGTGGATTGGGAGGACTGGCCTGTCACCCTCCACCGTGCAGTTGCTTTTCCCCCTCAGAACAAACATCTGGATCTGCACTGACCATGTGTCTAATGGTCGGTTTTCTAATTCTATCAATCATTCTTTCTATATTATTGGTGGCCTTTTCTTTCTTGTAAAACAGAGCTTTCTCTCATCAACTGAGCTACCTCATTATCCCAAAATGCAGTTCATATTGAAAAGACAAGACAAATAATTATTTCCCCCGGTACCAAATTCTTAACGTAATGAGTTGATTTAATTGCCACCTCAAATTATTGCATAAGAGTATTTTCCTAGCTTTTGCTTTTTGAGGTTCCCCACGGACTCATGGATTTTCATTGATTCAATGTGTAATAATATGCTACAGTCATTGCTGTTTTTGATGTCATATTGTCATACATTTGGCCAAGGGGAGTGGGGGGGTTCCACTTTGCACAATCCTAGTTCTTGAAAGCCGCCTTACTTTGCGACACAGCAAGACCATGTGCCCCAGATGTGGAATCTGCCATTGCACCAGTTAAGTGTGGTCTTCTTCAAAGGGTCACATTAGGCAATGTCCTCTAAAACAGACTAGGAAGTCATAAGCTTCTACTGTATTTCAGAATATTATATTATACAAAATTATATCATATTATAATAAAAATTACAAGAAATAGGGAAAAGCTATGTCAAATCATAATTCTACATGCATCTTGACAATGGACTTTTTTGATGAAAAGAATTGACATATAATCACCCTATAAATTTTCTACACTTTGTGATGGAAAATATAATCTAGAACCAGGAGGTCACTGATCAACTTTGAATCTCAAAATTAACTTTCTTTAGTCTCTAAAGACACAATAGTCTTGAAAGCCAAGTGTTGTATGTACAGAAAGATTTCTAAAATGCATAAACTCCTTCTACGTAGTAAAAATAAGACGTCGAGACCTGAACCAGGAGTTTATTATAAAGTACAGATAGGGAGACCTCAGGATGGATAGAGGCAGTTCCCTCCATCAGGATAAGGGAGTATGAAGCTCTGTCCACAGTGAGAGAACAGCACGACATCAGAGGGGAGGGTCCCACTTTGGGCATGGAGGGGCTGGTGCTGAAGCCCAGAAAGTTGCGGGGGAACAGACAGCAGAGGGAGCTTGCACCTGCTCCCCACTGGGAAGGTTCTGGGAGGACACTCATGGAGTGCTCCACAGCAACACGATGGCTACGTCGGAGAAGAAATGGCATGTGACGTGTGCATGTAGCTCTCCTCTCTGTGCGTTGGTTATAGAAGTTCCCGCGTGCACCTGGGGAGGAAGGGAGAGGAGAGCCGACGCAGGTCAAGGGACTGATCAGAGGAGGAGCACGGTGGCCTCGTAGCCAAGCTTGCTGTGGGTGGGCAGCCTGCACCTGGGGCCAGATGGAGCACGTGTCTGAACCCTACGTGAGGGCCAAGGTGGGACAAAACCAGCTGTGGAAGGATCTTCAGCCTTGGCCATGCCCAGAGGACTGGCCTGAGCCCCTGCAGCCCCAGCCCCACAGCAGGGGACACAGGGAGGACGGAGGCCGCAGCCCTGAGTCCAGGGGAGGGAAGCTCCACTGCTACCCGAGTGCAGGTGGATGCAGCAGAACACGACATCTCTGGACCACAACCACGTGTGGGCCCTCCCCCTCACTTCGGAGGCCATCATGTCTGTCTCGCAACTAGACATCTACTTTGGAGAAGGAGTGGGCAGAAAACTGTCCTAGTAAACAATCCGAGCTGTAAGTTGAGGGATTCAGAAACTCGATTTTA